ACAGTAAATTTCCAGAGAAAATTTGTTTAAGATCGTATTTAGATTAATTTATTGCTAATTATACGATTCGTTTAATTTTTTTTTTTTTTTTTTTTGCGAAAATAAAAATGATTGTAAAGGCGCTGTAAAAGTTATTTACCCTTTTTTTTTTGTAACAAGTTATACATACAAATGTATAAATATATTTTCTTTTTAGATGAACGCGATTTGACAAAAAACAGAAAAGAGTTATTTTCTTTTACTAAAATTTTATATTATTAAACAAAGAAATAAAGGAAAAAAAAGTAACGGAGAATATATATATACTTTTAAGTTTTAGGTCATGCTTTTTATTATTTACTTTAAAGCCTGGCTAATTTTTTATTCATATACAGTTCGGTATATATAGTTGAAATGTCAGAAGTTGATAAATAAAAGAAATTTAATTTTAATACAAAAAAATTATATAACAATAGGGGCGTTCCATGGAATAGGAACATCACAACTTACTTTTTTGGCATAGTAACAACAGTGTTCTACTTTTTTTTTTTGATAAAGTAACAGTAACGTGTTACTTTGTACTTTTATATTTATTACGTTACTTTGAACTTCAAAAGTTACGCATTACGTTACTTAGTTTAAAAGTAACAGTACTTTGTTACTTTTGTTTTAAAAAAACAATGTAGTATGTTACTTTTTTGGTAAAGTATAAGTAACGCATTGCTTTGTACTTTTAAAGTAACTTATTACGTTACTCAGTTTAAAAGTTACTTTCAAACTAAGTAACGTAACATAATAAGTCACCTAGTTTAAAAGTACTTTCAAACTAAGTAACGTAACGTAATAAGTTACCTAGTTTAAAAGTACTTTCAAACTAAGTAACGTAACGTAATAAGTTACCTAGTTTAAAAGTTACTTTCAAACTAAGTAACGTAACGTAATAAGTTACCTAGTTTAAAAGTTACTTTCAAACTAAGTAACGTAACGTAATAAGTTACCTAGTTTAAAAGTTACTTTCAAACTAAGTAACGTAACGTAATAAGTTACTTTAAAAGAACAAAGTAAAGCGTTACTGTTACTTTATCGCAATATATATATATATATATATATATATATATATATATATATATATATATATATATATATATTGTGAATCATAATGTTACTATATAATGGCATATACAATAACACTTTATTTCATTTGAGTTTAACCGTCTGCTATAGGGGTTAAGAACCTTTCAAAGAATTTTAAGCTTCCTTTCTAACTGTCCAGTTACCGGATGGATTGTTCAAAACTTGAACTATCTAGTTTAAAGACATATATATATCTCTATATATCTATAGTAAATTTAAGACCTTTAGCATTCAAATAGAGAAGCTGCGATGACTATTTCTATTGCTAAAATTTTTTTTACTTTTTGAATTTTACATATTTATATATATATATATATATATATATATATTTAAAAATATCCATGAACTATATTTTTTGAAGAATTCATAAATTGAGAAATTTAAATTCATATTCAAGATGCAGTCAATTTTAATTGAAATGGCAGTTGCATTTTGCAAATATTTTTTTTTTCTAACGTGTTGTTATTGGCTATGAAATTTCTATGTAATTAATTCAGGATTTGGAACTTATAAAAAAGGGCCTACGCTCGAATTTACGTCATAAATTTTTAGTCACTGATTTTAAAATTATTTAATATCAAATTTCAACGATAAGAATCAATGATTAAAATTTGATATTGAATAATTTCAAAATTTTAACTGCAGTGACAAAATTTTGTTATGATAATTCAAGCGTAGGCCCTTTTAAGTTTCGGAGATTAAAAATTGAGAAATAAACTTTTACATTGACCTTTCTCAAAGTTTTGAGGAAATATGTTTCTATTTTGTGAAAAGTGAAGGTAACTTGTTAATTATTATTTAAGAACAATAAACAGTAATGGATTAATTCAAAGGTATAACGCGTAACTACATTAAAAAAAGTAAAGTTAATGCGTTATTTTCTTTTAAAATTAATGTTACTATATTTATGGCAGAGTAACAGTAACGCGTTACTTTGTTATAAAGTAACATTAGTGTGTTAGTTTTTATATTTAGGTAACAGTAACGCGTTAGTTTGTTTTAAAGGAATAGTAGTGTGTTAGTTTTTAAGGTTAAGGAACCGTAATATGTTACTTTTTATGACAAAGTAACAGTAAAGCGTTACTTTGCATTAAAATAATAGTAGTGTGTTAGTTTTTATGGTTAACTGGTTACTTTGTTCTATATAGTAATAGTAGTGTGTTACTTTGATTTAAAGTAACAGAGTAGTGTGTTAATTCGTTTTAAAGTAACATTAATATGTTGCTTTATTTTAAAGTAGAATTAATGTTAGTTTGTTTTTAAGAAATTAGATTAGTTCGTATTAAAATAAAACAGCAGTGTGTTACTATATTTTATAGTAATACAAGTTACATTGTAGTTTTAAAGTAACTTATTACGTTACTTAGTTTAATAGTAACAATACAATATTATTTTTTTAAAGTAACTAGTAACGCGTTACTTTGTACATTAAAAGTAACTTATTACGTTACTTTACTTAGTTTAAAAGTAACAAGTTACTTACGTTTTAAAGTAATAATATGTTATTTTTTTATTAAATAACTTATTACGTTACATAGTTTAAAAGTAACAAGACTGTTACTTTCCTTGTAAAGTAACAATACTTTGTTAGTTTTTCTATGTTATGTAACGGCAACACTTTACTTTCTGCTTTTAAAGTTACTTATGTTATTTTTTTGTTTTTAAAGTAACAGCAGTGTTTTACTATTTTGGTAAAGTAACACAGTGTGTTTTTTTGGTCAAGTAACTTGTAACGCATTACTTTGTACTTTTAAAGTGACTCAAACGTTAAATTACATAGTTTAAAAATAACAGTACTATGTTACTTTTGTTTTAAAGTAACAGTATTATGTTACTTTTGTTTTAAAGTAACAGTATTGTGTTTCTTTTATTTTTAGCATCAGTAACGCGTTACTTATATACTTTATAAATAACTTATTACGTTACTAAGTTAAAAAGTAACAGTACTATTTTGTTTTAAACTAACAGTAGTATGTTACTTTTATTTTTAGTATTTGTAACGCGTTACTTGTGCACTTTTAAAAGTAGCTTATTACATTACGTTACTTACTTAAAAAATAACAGTAATATGTTACTTTTGTTTTTAAATAACTGTAAATTATTACTTTGGTAACTTTTTATTACTTTTTAAGTAAAGTAACAGTGACGCGTTACTTGTGTACTTTTTAAAAAAACTTATTACGTTACGTAACTAAGTTAAAAAGTAACAGTAATAATATACTTTTGTTTTAAAGTAACAGTACTATGTTACTTTTATTTTTAGTAACAGTATTGTGTTTCTTTTTATTTTTAGTAACTTTATTATGTTACTTTTATTTTTAGTAACAGTAACGCGTTACTTTTATTTTTAGTAACAATAACGCGTTACTTTTATTTTTAGTAACAATAACGCGTTACTTTTATTTTTAGTAACAATAACGCGTTACTTATATTTTTAGTAACAGTAACACTTGTTTACTTTTTAAAAAAACTTATTACGTTACGTTACTAAGTTAAAAAGTAACAGTCATACGAAACTTTTGTTCTAAAGTAACAGTACTATGTTACTTTTATTTTTAGTAACAATAACGCGTTACGTATAATTCTAGTAACAGTAACGCGTTACTTGTGTACTTTTTAAAAAAACTTATTATGTTACGTTACTAAGTTAAAAAGTAACAATACTAAGATACTTTTGTTTTAAAGTAACAGTACTATGTTACTTTTATTTTTAGGAACAGTATGATGTTACTTTTTATCTTTAGTAACAGTATTATGTTACTTTATTTTAGTAACAGTAACGCATCACTTGTGTACTTTTAAAGTAACTTTTAACATTACGTTACTTAATTCAAAAGTAACAATAATATGTTACTTTCGTTTTTTAGTAACAGTAACGTGTTACTTGGGTACATTCCAAGTAACTTATTACGTTACTTTACTCAGTTTAAGAGTAACGATACTTTGTAATTTTTGTAAGTAACAATATTTTGTTACTTTTTAGGGTTTTTTTTTGGTTAAGTAACAAGGACATGTTACATTTTTCCAAAAAATAACAAAAAAATAGATTAGTTTTTGTTTAGAAACGAATGTTACTTTTTTAGTAACAAAAAAAAATAATTAAAAAATAGAATCAATGTCAAAAATATTGTCAAGTTTATTTAGCGAACAATATTTGCCAAAAATTTTATATTTTTAAGTATTTTCAACTCATAGTTAATTGTGCAATAATAATAATAATAATAATAATAATAATAATAATAATAATAATAATAATTAAAATTGAGATAAAAAAGTAATTATCAAAATTGACAATTATTCTTATTTTCTTGTGTCACTCAAGTGGGATGCTTTGATTATATATATTTTTATATATATATATACGTAAAACGCACTCAGGGGAGGTGCAGAGATCTGACGTACAGAGAAGTAGGTCAAGCAGGAATGCAAGACGTGCATAATATTATAAGAGAGAGATAAAAATTTTGTTTCACTTCTTATTTGTAGTTTGAGATGTAAATTAATCAGGTACTATAGGCAAAAATAAGAAGAAGAGAGGGAGGAGGGGGAGAAAAAAATAATTTTTTTTTTCACCAAATCACAACCCTCTCCCTCCCTCTATTGGTTGCATCTGACGTCCGAGTTTTGTGACGTTCCTTTGGACGTCACATCGATCCCCCGACATTTTCACCCAATTTTGGTGTCCTTTGGGGGAGTATACCTCCTCATATTATGTTTAATATACTTTTTAGAATTTAATTAAATATTTTTCTTTTATTTTCAATGAATTTTCATATATTATTTAACACACATGAATTTTAATAATAGAAAAAAATAGAAAAAGAGAGAGAGAGATTTTATGTAGGAGAAAAGGGTGCGGTGGACATGTTTTAAAAGCTGATACTCACCTTGTCTGAAGGGATATTTCGCGAACTCATTGTAGACGCGGGGGAGGTGAGGTGGTGTTGAATCCAGAGGCCTTATATGCTGGCAGGTGCTAATAAAATAGGTGGGTCCTTTGGAATTTCTTGAAAAAATTGTCGAGGGAAAATTTTCTTTGAATAAAAAAAAAAAAAAAATCAAAAAAAACGCTTCTCTCGTTTGACAGACGAGAATTTAAAGCGCAAAATTTTTTTTAGATAGGAATATATATATATATATATATATGTATATATATGTTGTGTGTATATAAACTTGTGCCCCTTTTTTTTTTTATTGGATTATATTACACCACTGAATGATGGGGGGAGAAAAAAAAATATCACACACACCCACCCACCACGCACTTTAAAACTCTCTCACTGGTTCACTGAAAATTTTCACTACACCATTTTTTTCGATGTAAATGAAGAAAATTCGCGGCACAATTGCACACATTTGAGTAAAGCCCACACCCGTTGTTTTGATGTTGTTGTTGTTGTTGTTACTTGCACATGTCGGGCGTTAAGTATTTTGGCAGCATTTTTTTTTTCTTTCTTCTCCTTATTTAATGCAATAACCAAAAAAATAACAAGAGAGAGAGAAAGAGAACGAGACACAGGGGCTCAGTTCTTTTGACACTCCGCCGCAGCACCACACGCACCACCGTCGTCAATGATCAGAGCCAAACACATAAAATGGCGTTTCGATGCTGCATTCTTCAAGTACCCGCCATGAACATTGTAAATTTGAGATAGATATGGATATAGAGAGAAAGAAGAAAAATTTTTGAGTAATAAACTTGGTCGCTATGGATTTTGTTTGGTGGCGACACGCGTGACTTTTACATGAACTATGTGATAAGAAAGTAAAATTACCGACTGGCGCGGAAATTCAAAATTTTAAAAATGAAAATTGTAATTTATTTAATTTTATTTTATAAATTAATTAGATATTAATAACTAATGTATAATAATAAATATAATTATATAATGAAAAGTATATTTATAAAAAAAATACTAGTAATTATAAAAAAAAACAATATAAATTAGTTTATATGTAACAAAAATTCGAAAATTTGTTCAAAGATCATGAAATTCACTACTCGGGGGTTTTCGGGATCGCTGATTACGAATCCGATATCAGTTTTTTAAAATTCATAATGGTGGATCCAATATGGCGGATAAAATTACAAAAAGTTGAACTAAATTAACAAAAATTATTACTAGGGGGATTTAGGGGTCGCTGATTACGAATCCGATGTCAATTTTTAAAAATTCAAAATGTCGGATCCAATATGGCGGGCTTTTTTTCTAAATTTGTTAAATTCGCTTAAAACTCGTTACTCGGGGGGTTTTTGGGGTCGCTGATTACAAATCCGATGTCAGTTTTTAAAAAATAAAAAAAACTGATTCAATATGTCAGACAAATTAAGACAATTATTAAATAGTAAAATATTATTAAATATTAATAAAATATTAATATCAAATTTAATTATTAACAAATTTTGAAAGAAAGAGAAAAATTTTAAATTTAAAGTAAAATTTAAATTTCCTTTAATTTCCCAACCGTCGGTAAAGTAGATAGCTGTTGGTAACTTATCCAATTCAGAGATCACTACACTACAGTTCCAACTGTTTCTGTAGTAGCAGTCGAAATTTTATTTTTCTTTTTTTTTGACATTTCCTTATAACCTTTTAAGCAATACACGCGCTGTTGTCAAACAAAAAAAAAAAAAAAGAAGAAGTACATATTACATTTTATCTTTAAATTAAATAATGCATTTCGAGAGTATTTTTAATAAAATAGAATATTTATAATATGTACATGCAATTATAGTGTTAAAGGAAATTTTATTTCTCTTATAAAATAATGTCAGCAATTATTGACGATAAAGTGGTTGATGGAGCAAAAGATCCAAATGTTGTTAAAGAAGATCCAATTCTTATTTTAACAGTAAGTCGTGTAAAATTTTAAATTAATATTTTTAAATAATTTTCAACCTTTGAAATTTGAATAAAATAAATTTTTTTTAAATAATTGAGAAAATTAATTTTCTCGTCATTTAAAAATTTCAATTAAATTTTTTAATTTATTTTAATATAATTTTTTAAAGAAAATTATTAAAAAAATAAATTTTTTAAAATTACTTTTTGTATTATGGTTTTTACTAATAATAATAATAATAATAATAATAATAATTTATCTAATTAAAAAATATAATTCCTTATTAATTAAAATTTGTTTAAAAAAATTTTTTTAAAAATTGTTACATTTTAAAATACAAATAAAAGTTTTTTTTCTTTTTTAAAAAATAAAAAATTTATTATAAAAATAAGAATTATTTTTCTTGGTTCCGTTTATAAATATATAAATAAAATTTTTAAGAATTTTTCCTTTTTACAATCGAAACGAAATAATTAAAACGTAAATTTAATTTTTTTTATTGTTAATAATTTTGGAATATTTTTTGTTAGAAATAAAATAATTAATTATTATCAATTTAAAAGAAAGTTTTTCACAATTCAATTTAAAAAAAAAAAAGTAAAATTTTACGTTAGTAATTTTTTTTTTCGAAAAAAATTAATTTTGTCTTTAAAAATCAAATTTTAAAATAAAAATTTTTTCTTCTTTTTGCAAATTAATAATGTTAATTAAAAAATGAATTTAATAAATTTAAAATTATTATTCAATAGTTGCATAATATTAATTTAATTAAAAAAAATTTTAATTTATTTATTATTATTATTATTATTATTATTATTATTATTATTGTTATTAATTTTTATTTTATTCAATTAATTAAAAAAATGTAATTTATTTATTATTATTATTGTTAATTTTTATTTTATTAATTTATTTTTAATTTCAATTGAATGAATTTTTAGTTCCAATATTTTTATTATTAAATTTGTTTTAGTAAATGCAATTAATTAATATACAAAAAATTTTAGTTAAAAATTTACAGAAAACATTTTTTTTTTTTTTTTTTTTTGAAACATTAAAAAGTGTTGCAAAAATTTTATTTTATTTTACCTTTTTTTTCCCACAGGAAAAAGTGAAATCACTTTATCTATTTCGTGATCATTATTTTGAAAATCATGCAATTGAAGAGGCAATAAATAAAAATTGCGATGTTGAAAAAGAAATGAAGGAGACATTAACGAAATTCGACGAATATAAAGGATATGAAATTGATGGTGCAAGAGCAAAATATTATTTTTTAAAGGGAAAAACACTTAATGTAATAAATAGACATGTACCGCAAGCCGAGGAATTATTAAGTAAAGCAGTGAAATTAGAGCCAAAATTAATTGAAGCCTGGAATGAACTTGGCGAATGTTATTGGAAAAATGATGATATTCAACAGGCGAAAAATTGTTTTTCCGGCGCTTTGCCTCATGTATGTTTTATTTATTTATTTATTTTTTTTTAATTTTATTTCTTATAATAAAAATAATTTTTTCGAATGGAAAATATTTTTTTAAATTATTATTTTAAATGTAAATTGAAGAAAAAAAATTTTTTTTTTTTATTTAAATAAAAAGAAAATTTTTATATTATTGAATGAATTTTTTTTTTTATTTCACAGGGTAGAAATAAAGTTTCATTGAGAAATTTATCGATGGTTCTGAGACAAGAACCAGCGTCACAGGAGCAAAGGATAAAAAATGTTCAACAAGGAGTTGAATATGCAAAAGATGCTGTGAGTCTCGACACATCAGACGGTACTTCTTGGGCTATTTTGGGAAACGCCTACCTTTCTTCATTTTTTACTGTTCAACAAAATCCGGCTACATTGCGTCTCTGTATGTCCGCCTACAATCAAGCCGTAAGTGGAATATAGGCAAAAAAAAAAAATTTTATTCCACTAGAAAAAAAATTATTATTTTAATTCTCTTAATTTCTTATTTTCACTTTTTCCAGGAAAAAGACATTATTGCCAAAAGTAATCCTGATCTTTTTTACAATAAAGCAGTGGTACGTATAATTTTTTTTTTTTATTTCATTTTTGAAAAAAAATTATGTTTCTAAAATTATGATTATTTAAAAATTTATCGCCGTTAAACTGAAAAGAAAACTTTATTTGATTCAAATAATTGAAAAACTATTATCAAATAAATATTTAGTAGAACCAAATAAATATTTACTTGAACCAAAAATTTTTTTTTTTTATTTGAATTAAATAAACTCTATTTGAAGCAATAATTTCTTTATTTGAAACAAATAATATTTAATTGACTAAAATAATAATTATTTCATACAAATAAATATTTATTTAATACAAATATTTATTTCAGTCAAGTAACCGATTATTTGAATTAAATAAAAAAAAAAAATTTTCATTTTAAAGTGAAATTAAAAATAATATATTAAATTTATTTTAAAGAAATTAATCTTAGGGAAAAAAAATTATATCCCACTAGGCACTTAAATATCAAGAGGAATATAAATCCGCACTTGAGTCTTTTGAAAGGTCGATGTTACTGGATCCAACATGGGATGTTCCTCGGACAAAGCAAGAGGATCTCCTTCAGTACCTCAAAGACGTACAAACTTCACTTAATAGTAAAGGGAGACTGAAACCCAAGAGGCTTCTTCAAATGATAAAAGTAAATTTCAACTCACTCTAAAAAATTCTCTTTTTTTATTTCTATTCACCTCATTTTTATTTACTTAAATTTTCAAAAAATTAAGAAATGAAAAAACTATAATTTAAATTTTACAAGAAAAAAATATCTTTTATTAGAATTATGTACAATAATTAAAAAAAAATCTAAAATTTAACCTTTTTTTAACAAATTAAAAATATTTAATTTACTTTTTTAAATTAATTAATTTAATTTACTTTTCTTAAAATCGACATTTTTTTTAATTAAAATTTTATTTCAAATTTTTAAATATTCTACAGTATATCTTATTATTATTTTTTTTTTTTTAACTTTTTCCCCCTTGAAAATTTTTATTTTTATTAAAAAGTTGAAATTTTAAATAGCAAAAAAATTAATTTTTCAGACACTTGATTTAAAACATTTAGGACCCTATAGCGATGGATCCTATACAGTTGGAAATAAAACTGTAAAATTGGAGAAAATCTTGTTAAAAAATTTAATTCCTGGTGTAAATTTAGAAAAAGTCATTTTTGGAAAAGTTGTATGCTGGATTCAAGACTCAGACTGTGTGCCTTTGTAAGTTTCATTTCTTTTTTTTTTGAATTATTCTCAAAGACATTAAATTTATTTTTTTACAATTTAATTTAGTAAAATTATTTTTTTTTTTGAAACTATTTGAAAATCCAAAAAAAAAAAATTCCAAATAAAAGAAAATATAAATAACAAAAATTATATTTAAACAAAAAATTCAATTTTGAAGAAGTAATATTTAATTTATTTTTAGTACATTTTGCCTCGTCGATAATGAACAAACTTGTGTGGCTGTGACTGTTTATAATTTAGCAAAAGGACGAGGAGTCACAAATGGTGATTCAGTCGCAATTCCTGAACCTTTTGTAACTCATCAAAAATTCTCTTACAAGGAACATGTAAATATAATTATATTGTTTATTAATTTTCTTTCTACTGAAAAATTAATAAATATCTAGTAATCAGATAAAAAAAAATTTACTTTTTAATTTATTTAAAAAAAAAAAAATAAAATTCAACTCTTTAGATTTATTTATTATTTATTTAAGAATATACGGGTTATTTAGATAATTAACTTTTTTCTAATAGAACAATTTTAATTTATCAATTAAAATTAAATTTTTCTAAATTGAAATTAATTTTTTTATTTAAATTAATAAAAAAATTTTATTTACGTAGATTTAGCGGGGGGGTTTTTTTTTTTTAATTTTTGGCGAATGTAATTATTTTTTTAAAATTAATTAATTTCCTAATAATTTAATGATAATAATAAGTAAATATTAATTATTTTTGCAGACATTTGATTTTAAATCAATAAGAGTCGAAACACCATTGATTCTTGTGGTGAATGGAAAAAAAATGAGCTGGGAACAACAGGCAGGAATTCGAATTTCCTCTATGAAAAAAAGTGATTAACTCTGTTTTTGTTTTAAGTTGAATTAGTTTTTTAAAAAAAAGATTCCTTAAAATTCTATTAGACATCTTTACGTTATAATTTTAACTGGAAAAAAAAATTATTTTATTCAAACATTCAATCAATAGTATTAAACAGTAAAATAAAGACAATTTTTTTAATTGAAAAAAAGTTAAAATATAAACAAACAATTTTAGAAGAAATTAAAAAAACTTATTAAATTCAAAACAATAGATTTTAATTTCACAATTTTTAGTAATAATTACTACAAATCGAATTTAATTTTTCCCTTTTTTTTTAGTATAACGCAAAAATGCCCAATTGTTATTCAATAAATTAAAGAAAATTTTATATATTGTATATTGTAATGCAACATTTTTCAGTATTTAAAAAAAATTATTTTAGGTGACAATATTATTTGCCAAGTCACTGAAAAAATAAATTAAATTTTTTAAAATTTAAATTGATTCTTACATAATATGTATAGAACAATTTCGCCTAGTCATAATTTTTTTTTTTTTTTTTTCTATCAAATGACAAATTTTTAGAACAAACAAAAAGTTTTGTACTTAAAAAAAAATAATGTTAATATGCATAAAGAACAAATTTCTAGAAATAAATTTATTTAAGATTTAAAAAAAATGTAATAATTGCTATTTTTTTAAAAACAAGAAAAAATTTGTAAAAAAAAAATCATACTACTACATGACAAAGATTTAATTTTGTTTGTAAAACAGAGGATAATAATAATAATTTTATAACTAAATTTAAATATGATTTCGATGGCAGACAAATTCGATCTCAGAAATAAAAAAAAAAGTTTTTGTAAATTTTTCAAATTATTCTTTGTGATATTTTTTTTTTTATATATAAAAATTGAATAATTCTAATGTTATTGATTTTATTTTTTTTTTGCCTAAAAAAATCCCGAAAGTTGCGAATTAAAATTTTTTTTAATAAAATATGGAAAATTCAATTTTTTTAAAAATTTTAATTCAAATTTTACAGAAACTTTATTGTTTTTAGAATTTTGAATTAATTTTTTTTTAAATCTTTTTTACTATTAAAAATTTTAACTTAAAATATTGTATTTCTCTAATTTATCGAGACTCTGACTTTTTTATTGTTTAAATAAAATCTTAAAAATTTTCTTTAGTTGATTCTTAAAAAAAAAATCGCGAAATAGAGATCACATTTTTTTCCTAATCTCAAAAATTAAAAAGTTAATTTATTTAAATAAATTATAGTTTTTAATGAATTTTTTTTAGCATTTATCTCAAGTTTGATTCCTCATTAAGCTGCGTCCTCCAATTTTTATTAAAATCGGCTTATTCTATTTTTATAATTTTTTTTTGTTTAATTATAAATATAATTGTTTGTTTTTAAATATAAATGTAAAATATTAAAAATATTCGTTTACCATTTTACATAAATTGTGAAAATTTATTTCAGACATTAAACTTGGATCACAAAATAAAGTCAAATACAATTGAAAGATGTTTTCAAACATAATTCAAATGTTTAAAAATAATAATGAACTTTTTGTATAGGCACGTGGAGAATATTCTATCGCAAGGTTAAAAGTATGTATTTTGCTTGTTAAAATATTATTTATCCTCACTTTTTAATAATGCTCAATAAACATAATGGCATCACTTTATAAATTTTTTATTTAAAAAGTTACACGTGTTTCATATCCAATTGTATCAATATCAATAGACATTAATAGATAAGAATATTGTTTTTAATTAACGTAATAAATTATATAAAAATATATGGATTAAAATTTTACAAAAAAATAGTTATATAAAAATCCTAAGAACGACAACAAATGTCTACTTATATATATTTTGTTTGAAAATTATTAAAGTTAAGAAAAATTATTTGTTTGGATACTTTAAGTAAGTACAAATAATGAGAAAATAATATTACTTTAGAAAATTAATTTTAGAATATATTAAAAAAAAAACATAAATTTCTTACATTAAGAAAGAATCAAACAAACAATCTAAAAAGTTTTTTTTTTAATTCCCGTCAAATTTTAATATTTGTAAAAAAGTTCTTGTTCATCCAATATTTACACTCATTCATTCCTTCTCCCATCCTAAAACCTCAACAATATATTTCAATTTTTTTATTTGCTATTTTTGCACAGGGTTAGGAAACTCATATGTTATACACGGGGATGAGTAATATAATTTGAAAAATTATATTGTGGAACGTCCCAAATGTTGTATTCCACCACTTTGTTCCTACGCAACATTTGAGACGTTTGACTTTATAATGTTGCAAATAATAACACATCCCTGTGTACAACTTTTGAGTTTCAATACCCTGAGCAAAATGACCATATTAAAACCATCATGAGCACAAAAGGTTTGCTTCGTGTCATTTTTTTTCATGTCATAAAATTTTATAAACGTATATTTGTCATTTTATCAACTTAGACTAAAATTAATTCTTATTTACAGATTAATTAAAGTGTGATTAAAAAACAAGAGAATATATACTTCTACTACCTTAAATTATCATAGAATGAAAAATAGAAAACATTAAAAAATGGATACATTAACCTATACAAGTCCTCTAGCAACTGTACAACTTATACCAATCTTCAATTATTTAACAATACTTAGTGATTATTTATTCATTAACAATTATTTACCAGAATTTGATCAATACAAACAAATACCAATTATAAATGCACTTTATGATTATTTAGAAGAAAATAAAGATACTTTAGGCAATAGAGTGAAATTAATTCGATATTTATTAAAAGGTAGTGATCTATATGGAGAAGAAGATAATGAATATTTAGATCCAATTTTCGTTAATGAAATGTTTAACTACATCATTAGTTCTCTTGTATTTGATAAATATGGAAATATTTATGGATTTTTGGCAGAAACAATTCGTGGGTTAAAAAATTTACAATTTGATTATGTTATGCCGAAGATAAAAGAACAACTTGCAAATACAAGTTATGAAAATGAATTTGGAATTCCCTCGACACTTAGTGATTTTGCTGTTGAAAGAATATATCACAATATAATATTGCCACTTTTTCCGCAACCCAATAATATTGATATCAATTTATTGTCTCTTGATTATATTTTTGCACAAGCTGGTTCAATATATCTTCGTCTTGGAAGAATAAATGAAACCTATTTTCCTGATTTTGAAAATTATATTTTAACAAAAAGCTTTAATAATCTAAAATTTGATGATTTTGTTACAGTCGGACATATAATAATTAATTTATTACATAGAGAAAATATTGATATTTTAACATTAAGAGCTTTTGCACTTCCAGTTGTTTTCTATTATATTTCAACTGAGACAAAAATTATAAATGAAACAATAAGAAATATAATTTTTGAACCACATCATTGGGAGATGGCTTATCATAATTTTTTGCAATTTACAACTATTGCTTTTGAACAGATAAAAAATCAATTAACCAAAGATTATGCATATAAAATTCATGAGGCATTTTTGAAATTTCATAATCGTTTTTATATGGCTAAACTATTTTTGGATCTAGAATGCCGACTATCATTGAATGAAAAAGAAAGAAAACAAAGAATTCCTATGTACATAAAAAATTATAATAAAAATTTTCAATGTCACAATGAAAGTGTTTTACCGGACATTAATGAATGGTTCATAAAGCAAATTGATTATATAGTCGATATGTATGAAAAATATGATTTAGCGATAGTTCAGCAGTATTTTAATCAATTTTTAAAGGAAAAAAAATTTAATGAAATCGAAATAAAATTATTAGTTAATGATTTTAATAATTTAACCAGTAAATCTTTCGATTTACTTGAATTTTCTTCCTCCGACAAGAGAAATTCAGATTATTATGCATTAATACGAGAAAATTATACTGTTACATTTATTAAAGAATCTGATAATCCAGAAATTTTCAATCAAAAAGTTGGATCATCTTCAGAAAAATATAAACAATCAACAAATAAAATTGTAATTTTAAAATATGCCAATGAACAAATAGAAGAATTTTATCAAGAATTAATGAAATATAAAAAGGAAAAATTAAAATTTTATTTAAATAATTTAGACAATAATTCAGAATGGTGGAAAGAATTTGGATTATCTTTGGTGCCAGCTTATCCATGTTTATCAAATAATGATGATAAAAATTTGTGTGAAGAAGATGATATAAAATTTTTAAAAAAATTTCCCGAAAACATAACATCTAATATAATAGACATATATACACGATCTCTTTTATCTTTATTTGGTATAAATATAAGAATAGTATTTTTAAAAAACTTAATTGATGAAACAATCGATAGATTAAATATTCCTCTTAAAAAATTTACCACTATTTCGCTACAAAATAAAACAGATACAATATGGAATAAATTTTCACTACATTTAGAGGAGCCTGAATGTGAATCTAATTCAATAACACAAGAAGGTATAAAAATAATAACAGCCGTTATTGACAATTTAAAAAAACAAACTAATGAAAATTTTGCAATTGTTGATAAAATTTTAAATAAAATGAAATTTTTAAAATCTAATTTCATTAGAAATGTTAGTATCGTCGATAAAAATGAAAATCAAATATTATACATACGTTCATTTAACAGTTATACTGGTTATGGTTATAAATTTATATTTACTTCTCCTGTATCTCAAAATAAAACTGAAATTGCTAATCTCAGAAGTGATTATGGTTTCAATAGTAAAATGTTTATTAAACTTTTTAATAATTCATCAAAAATTGAAAAAACATATATTAAATTTAATACATATTATCAAGATTTCAATACTGAATATTATATGCAAGAAATTAATAATCATCTTCATAGAAAATTTACCAGAATTTTATTTTTTGGTATATCGTCTCATGATATTAATGAACAATGTGATAATTATGAATATTTACAAGAATCGAAACATTCTAATGTTTGCCTAAGACATAGGCGTTTTATTGAAAAAATTCATATAAAAAACGAAATAGTTGAGATAATAAAAAAAAATTTTATTCTTAAAAAAAAATATCAATCCGAAGAGGAAATACGTAAATCATTAGAAAAATACACCTTACCAGATAATAAAATATTTTTAATATATTTTGTCAATCATTTTCTAGAAGACAACAATTTTGAAGAATCTGAATGGAGTAAATATTTACTAATAGAGAATTCTCATATTTTAAATAAATTAAGATTCGATATACGTTTAGAAAATAATATTTCAAACATTGTAGCTAAAGAGAGAATAAATTTACTCTACACATATAGAGAGAGATCTAAAATTGAAGAAGCAACATCACTGGGAAATATAATTAAAAATTACAATAATCAAAAGGCAGGTTATTCGGCAACATTTGAAGATTACTATGCAATTAGAAATTTTATTACAACAGGCAATAGAAGAATAAGTCAAGATACAAGTGAAGCAAAATTAATGAAACTTGCTTTATATAAATTAGCAATAAGACAATCTGACGATTTAAAAGAGGATTTTGAATCGAAATTATTTCGAATCGAATACAAATCTGTCGAATGGATTAAAAAGGAAATATATATTGGAAAACGTTTTATTTTTCAAAAATTTTTAACAACTTCTACAAATATTAAATCTGCGGAAAGACTTTCTGAATTTCCACCAAATGGATTTCGTTATGTTTTATATGAAATGGATTTTTTTGGTTCTTATTTTAGAGTAAAAATTGAAGTTGACGAAGAAGAAGTGGTTGTCAATCATAATTATCATATTCATAGAGAAAAAAAAGTTATACTTTTGCCTGGTAGTGAATTTGAAATAGTGGAAATTGTACTAACAAAACTTGAAGCAGTTGGAAATGTTTTAAAAGTGGTACTACTTTCTAAATCTCATTTCTATAAAACTTATGATTATTATAAAAAAATTATGAACGAAATTTCACGTAATAAATAAAATTTAATCTATTTTTGATTAATATTTAAAAATAATAATTTTCATATTACTTTATTATCATCTATTTATTAAATATGAAATATCTAAGATACAAATAAATTTTTATGAAAAATAATAAAACTAATAAACTTTATTTAAATAAGTTTCTTGCCCATAGTTTTAAAAATTGTTGTCTTGCATGTTGGTATCAACAATTGTTTATTCTCATCAATAAGTTCATCGTTTCTTTTTTCTAATAATACTTCAAATCCAGCTCGATAGGCTAATTTTATTGATGCCGATGATGTGAAAATGGTGACACTTGAAAAAATATTTAACCTCTTGCCAAATTCATTTCTGAAATTTTTTTTTATTATTAGTAATTAATGACAAAAAAAAATTTGTATATTTTTTCTGTGGAATTTAACTAAAAGAAAATATACTTTTATTTTTATAATTTAATTTAATATTATTTTTTACCTATTTATTGTTCATTAATATTATTATTATTATTATTATTATTATTATTATTATTATTATTATTATTATTATTATTATTTACAAATGTAAAATTGATAAAAAATTACCGTGCCATAAGAAGATGATAACCAATTGCATTTCCACGATAAGTGGGCTCAACACTAAGACCAAAACCTCCTATATAATTATCACTATCGTATAATTTTTTTGTATCAATATTTTCCGATAAAATATTCAAAATATCCATTATTTTTTTAATTTTTTCAGATTTAAACTAAAATAAATTAAAATAAATTAATAAATAAAAAAAAAATTATTACTAAAATAGTTTAATATAATAAAAAAAAAAAAATAATTTACACTTTCACCGAAATAATTTTTTCCATTCTTTCCGCCAATATAAAGAACATTCATTCCTGCCAAAATTGATTTTTCACCATTTGGATTATTGAAAAATGCCCCTAAACTTAAATTGTCATTCAATACTTTAGAAAATATATTTCTCATCTCATTCATAGCTACTGGATCATTTTTCACATCTAAAAGTGGCAAAATATATTTTAAGTATAGAAAATTTTGATGCAGGTGGGACGTGATCATTAAATTTTTGTTTTAATTAATTAAATTATAAAACTAAAAAATATGCAATAATAAATTATAACGTAAAAATATAATAAAAAAAAATTAAAGTGGATTAATTAAGAAAAACGATAATCGGACAAATTTGTCCGAATGTGTCCGGAATGTATTTGTCCGAATATCATCGTTTTTATTAAAATTTACTCAAATGTAAAAGCAGTTTTTAATAAATAAAAATAAAAGAAAAAAATTCTAAATATTTTATATAAATTCAAATTTTCATGTTATTAGAAATACTTCTGAAATTCTTGTTTATGTTTACTCAATGTTACTTATATAGAGGACAACAGAGACTAATATATATATATATATATATATATATATATATATAATTTAATATGTCCCAAATAAAATTTAATTAAAAAAATTTTCTATTCTCAACAAAATAATTAATTTTAAAAAATATATTTAAACATTTTTAAATAAATAAAAATAGAAAATAAATTTTTATTTAAAAAAATGTAACTTACTTTCAGATTCAAATACAGGTTCATCGGCTATGAAAAATTTACACATATGATCTGTAGCTTCATCGTATCTATCTTTTGGAATTGCTTGAATGGAAAATTTTATAGTTTCACCATTTTTTAAAATTTCCACATTTTTAACAAAATCAGACAAATTATCAGAGTTTAACTCCATAATAATGAAATTTTATAAATTTATAAAAAAATTTTATATATAATTTAAATGATGATTTATTTATATAAAATTATAAATTGAACTGACCGTCACTAGCAACTACAATATATTGAATAACAACTTTTTCCAAAATAAATTCGATTTATAAGACGTATTTTTCATTTCACGTATAATATTGTAGGAGCGTTCAATTTTTGTCTAAAGAAAAAATTTTTACTTTTTTTATTTTATATAATATAAACCACCTTTTATATTTATGATAAATCAATAATAAAAATTAAAATTTTATATGTGAAATAATTTTTGTAATCTAAAATTGACAATTCGAACCAGAAAAAATTGAAAATTAACAATCATATACATAAACTTAAATGCATGAAATCGAAATGAATTCATTTTTTTTTCTCTCTTTTACCATTTCAAATTTTAACTATAAAAATATTGTACATATTTCCCTAATTTATTATTGTGAATTCGACTTTTTTATTGTTTAAATATAATATTACATTTTTTCTCCATTTGATTCTTAAAAAAAAAAAAAAAAAAAAAAATATCGCGCAATAAATGGAGAATACATTTTTTTAAACCTCAACAATTAAAAAGTTAATTTATTTATATACAAATTATAGTTTTTAATTCATTTTCTTTAATCATTTATATCTCATAAGTACAATTCCTCATTAAGCTCCTCAGATAGCAACCTTGCTGCAAGCTTCAAATGTCCCACCTAACCCTAACTTAACCCAAGCTTGCATGGTAAGCTTGCCGAAAGATTGCAGTGTATAGTTACAGCAAGATTGCTCAGTAAGCTTGCATGGTAAGCTTGTCGCAAGGTTGGTACAAGGTTGCCAAATAACCTTGCCAATCAACACAGAAGGTTGCAGCAAGCTTGCCATGCAAGTTTGCTCAGCAACCTTATGGCAAGCTTGGCTTGCCAAAAAAAAATTGTTTTGAGGGAGGGAAATTTATTTTTGTACATACATTGAGCACCAGTTCTTGGGAGGTCAAAAAAATTTACTGCGCAGAAAACTTCTGTGCTGATTGGGGAAGGTTATTGGCAACCATGCACAATCTTGCAGTAACCTTACACTGCAATCTTTCGGTAAGCTTACCATGCAATCTTGCGATAATCATACTGTTCAATCTTGCAGTAAGCTTACACTGCAATCATTCGGCAAGCTTACCATGCGCAAGTTTGGGTTAGATGGGACATTTGAAGCTTGCGGCAAACTTGCCGTGCAAGGTTGGCAATATTGCGCGGTAAGCTTGCCGCAAGGTTGCTCTGCAAGGTTACGTGCTATCTGGGTAAATTAAATGACAATTTTTAAAATTAATTCTGCAATTATTTTAGAATTGTAGATTCAAAATTTTGTAACTGACTATTATGAACTATATATATATATAGGCCTTGAATCCTGGAAACCTATGCCCCAAAATTTTAAGGTTATGTTTGATCTTTGACCTTGAATCCTGGAAACTATGCCCTTGAATTTTAAGGTTATATTTGATCCATGACCTTGAATTCTGGAGACCTATGACCTTTAATTTTGAGGTTTTGTTCGTTTTAATACTAATATAAGTGTTCCACGTCAATTCACTTGTGGGTTTATGGTTGATTATACTTGATATGGAATGACCCATTCCTATAACCTAACTTAATCTAACTTAACCTAACTTTGGTAAAAACATGGGTTGGGTACACTTAACATGGAATCACCCATACTGGAGACAACGGCGAAATCTTTTTATAATATAGAGAGAGATTATTATTATTATTATTATTATTATAAATTTTTAATAGAATTAATAGATTAATATTTTATTTAGGATGAAATATTAATATGCACATGATTGAAAGTATATATTTAATTATATTTATTTTTTTATAATTTTCCTATAATTTTTTTTCTATTTACATTGTCATTACTTTCTTATAATACTCAAACTTTGGCACTTGCTCTCTCCTTTCTTTCACATAATATTATAATATTTATAACTTAAATCTACGCAGTCTGAAAAAGTTTTTCAATTAATTACATTATTAATTTTATGCCAATTTTCAAAAAAAAAACTTGGTTCTTCAAAAAAAAAAATTTTTTTTTTTTTTTTTAAATTTAAAAATCAATAAATCACATATATGATTTTTTTGATTGATCCTTTTCTCGTCGAATGTATATAATATAAAAAATTATAATTTTTCAATAATTTTAGCAAATTTTTTTTTAATTATAATTTATTATAATTAATATATTTCTTATAATTTAAATGTAGAAAAAAGAAGAGTGGGAAATTTTTGACAAACATTCTCTTGCATTTATTCGAAGAGTTTCGAATAATGGAATAATAATAATGTTTGGAGAAAAAAAAAATTAAAAAGGACTATAAAATTCTATTAACGATTATATAATAATAAATACTTATTTTTTTTATATATATATAACAAATAACAGCATTCTTGTATATCTAAAATTAAAGGCGCTTTTTGCTTCTCAGTCTCGAAACTCATCTCTTATTGAAATAGATACAGAGTTTACAGAAAAAATATCTCTTGAAGCGATTAGCGTCATTTGTGTGGTACGCATATAATTATCCCATAAAAAAAACATTAATTATAATTTTCATTTTCAAAAATTTTATTAGAAATAATTATTTTCTAGATGAATTTTCAATTTTTGGATTACCATTTTGATGGAATTATTTCTAAAAAAAAATTCTTTTAAAATAAAAATTCTAATTAATAATTTTTTATGTGATAATTATGCGCTCATAATTTGTGTGTGTTTTTTTTTTTTCTTCTTCTTCTTCTTAATAAAATTTTATCCTAAGCACATTTGGTGATTCATTCATTTATTTCCCAGAGTTTGGAATAATTGTCCATAACTTCAATGAACCATTCCTTGAGTTTAGCGTCCTTAAAGAATGGTAGAAGTGCACGAAGTTGAAGTTGTAGAAGCGCTTCATTCCCAAGAAGTGTATTAAGCTGTCGAAGAAGATCAATATCGCCGTGAAGTTTCAAAAGACTTGAATAAGTAAAAATAAAATACTGAACTTCAAGTTGTTTTTTTGCCCAAGCCTCAACTGAATAATTTCCACTGGCTGACTGAATTCTACCCATATGCTCTGCGTACCATGGCGAAAAATAATTACTCAATTCAAGATTTGAGAGATCAGCAACGCCTCGCGTTTTTAGTCGTTCTTTTATTTGAAGATACACCTCTGGCCTATAAACAAACACCTGAAAAAGATAAAGAATTCTTAAAATTTTTGCGAGTTTATTGATATTTAAAAAAACGTACATACATATATTCTATTTAAATATTCTATTGAAAAGTAATATCTTTTATTTACTTTTCTCGCTTTCTATCTTCTTTCTATCTCATTTTATATCTTTAGATTTTTTATTGTTTTTTTTCTCTTTTTCTTCCTCTCTATCTCTTACTATTTATTTTTATTCATTTCTCAGTCTTTCTATCTTTTTCCATTTATTTGTATTTTCTTCTATTTCTTTCTATCCCTTTTAAGAACAAAAACAAGAAGAGCAACATGAACTACAAGAAGAAGAACAACAAGAACAATAACAAGAACTATGTACATGAAGAAGAACAACAAAAACAATAACGAGAACTTTGTACAAGAAGAAGAACAATAAAAGCACCAGGAACAATAACAAGAAGAATAAGAGGAGTAACAAAAACAGCAAGAATAATCATAATAACAAGGACAGTAAGAACAAAAACAACAAGAACAAAGAAAACAATAAGAAAAAAAACAAGAACAAGAAAAGCAACCGGAGCAACAAAAACAGCAGGAATAATCATAATAACAAGGACAGTAAGAACAAAAACAACAAGAACAACAAGAAGAAAAACAACAAGAACTACAAGAACAAGAGCAACAAGAACATGAACAAGAGCAAGAACAACAATAAGAAGGACAGCAAGAACAAAAACAAAAAGGACAAGAAGAGCAACAGGAGCAACAAAAAAAATAAGAACAAGAAGAGCACCAGGAACAATAACAAGCAACAAAAACATCAAGATGAATCATAATAACAAGGACAGTAAGAACAAGAACAAAGACAACAAGAATAAGAACAACAAGAAGAAAAATAACAAGAACTACTAGAAGAAGAGCAAGAAGAACATGAACAAGAGTAAGAACAAAAACAAAAAGGACAATGACAACAAGATGATCAAAAACAACAACAAGAAAAAGAACGACAAAAACAAGAGGGGCAACAAGAACTACAAGAAGATGAACAACTAGATCCCAGACAACAAGAAGAACAGGAGCATCAAGAACAAAAACAACAAGAACAATGAAGAAAACATATGAACAAAAACAAGGACACCAACAAAAGCAAGAAGAAAAACAATAACAACAAAATCAACAAGAGCAATAAGAATAAAAATAAAAAGAACAACAATAGCAAGAACTACAAGAAGAATCCAAGAAGAAGGGCAGGAGCAACAAGTACAAAAAAAGAACAACAACGAAAACAAGAACAATAAGAGTAACAAGAAAAATAAGAACAACAAATTGACAAAAACAACAAGAACAAACATAACAGGCGCGGCAACAAGAAGAAAAACAACAAGAACTACAAGAAGAAGAAGAAAAAAAATAAAAGAGTAACAGGAGCAACAAGTAAAAAAAAGAACTACAAGAGTAACAAGAAAAATAAGAACAACAAATGAACAAAAACAACAAGAACTACAAGAAGAAAAACAAGAACAACAAATTAACAAAAACAACAAGAACAACAAAACAACAAAAACTACAATAAGAAGAACAAAAAAAACAAGAAGAGCAACATAAACAGGAACAATAACAAGGACAGCAAGAACAAAAACAACAACAAGAAAAAGAACGATAAAAACAAGATGTGCAACAAGAACACGGACAACAAGAACAACAAGAGCATCAGTAGCTACAAAAACAATAATAAGAACTACAAGAAGATGAATAACAAGAAGATGAGCATCAAGAACAATGACAACTAGGAGAACAAGTGCAACCAAGAAAACAAGAACAGCAACAAGTAGAAGGACAACAACAATAGTAACAAGAACAACAAGAGTAACAGGCGCAACAAGAATAAAAACAACAAGAACTATATAAGAAGAAGAACAACAAGAGTAACTTGAGCAACAAGAACTATATAAGAAGAAGAATAGCAAGAGTAACTTGAGCAACAAGAACAAGAACCACAATAACAACAAGAGCAACAAGAAAAATAAGAAGAATAATTATAAGAGGAACATTAACAACAATAACAACAAGAAGAAAAACAACAAGAACTACAAGAAGAATCCAAGAAGAAGGGCAGGAGCAACAAGTACAAAAAAAGAACAACAACAAAAACAAGAACAATAAGAGTAACAAGAAAAAAAATAACAACAAATTAACAAAAACAACAAGAACAAAGATAACAGGCGCAACAAGAAGAAAAACAACAATAACTTTAAGAAGAAGAACAACAAGAACAAGAAGAGCAACATAAACAGGAACAATAACAAGGATAGCAAGAACAAAAACAACAACAAGAAAAAGAACGATAAGAACAAGATGGGCAACAAGAACAACAAGAGGATCAGTAGCTACAAAAACAATAACAAGAACTACAAGAAGATGAACAACAAGAAGATGAGCAACAAGAACAATGACAACTAGTAGAACAAGTGCTACAAAGAAAACAAGTACAAGGACAAGAATAACAACAACAAGAACTATATAAGAAGAACAACAAGAGTAACTTGAGCAACAAGAACAAGAACCATAATAACAACAAGAGCAACAAGAACTATAAGAAGAAAAATTACAAGAGGAACATATTAACAATAATAACAACAAGAAGAAAAACAACAAGAACTACAAGAAGAACAAGAATCAGAAGAGAAATAACAAAAAAAAACAAGAACAACAACCACATTTGTTGTAAATGCAATTTTTTTATGAAACAATTTTTTTTGCCATTAAGATTTTTGTTTAATACGTTAAAAAATACATTCCGATTCGGAATACCCTTAAATAGTTCTGAACTCTGGTGTGAAAGTTTGAAACGATAAAATAAATTTTCTTCACTGGGTAAATGAACAGTAGATTTCTTCCTATCACTATATCAACCAGTTGTTTGTGTCGGTAATAAATATATAATAAAGATATCTGTTATTTTCTAGAAATTATTTTTACTTTTTGCTGGTTATAATTATGATTTATAAATATTAAAATTCATAATAACTTAATATTGAATTAAATATAATTAAAAAAATGTTTTTAAACAAATAAATTAAATATTTAACATTTATAATTAATAAAGTAAATTAAATTTTTTTCTGTTAGTAATGGATGATAATAAAAATAAAATAGGAATCTGTAATTTGAGAAAATAATTTTCATCTGTTGATAATAATTACATGACATATTTACCATTTTGAATTTGAATTTTTTTTTTATTGTAATATTTATATATTTTTCGAGTTTTTTTTTATTGATTAAATTTTTTTTTTAAATATCATTATATTATTATTATTATTATTATTAGGTATTACATTATTATTATTATTTATATATTTATTTAGTTAATTATATTATTTGTCGTATTTATTTTATTATTTACTTTGTTAAATTATTTATTTATAAATAAAATAATAAATAAACTACATAAAATAATATAATATAAAAATATAATATAATAAATAAATTATAACAAATAATACGAGATTAATTAGTAATAGTATAAATAAAATAAACTTTACAGATTAGATTTTTTTTTTTTTCAAAGAGCGTGGGATAAAATTTGTTCTCATTATTATTCATTAACAATATAATATTATTAAAAAAAAAAAATTTGTATGAATTTCTGATTTCGTAATTTAGTAAAACTCTAAAAATGAATCAGTCAATTTTCTCAAATGGGAAAAATGAAGTTATTTCCCAGAATAATATATATATATTGGACTTTTACAGTCTTCTGACTCATATCTATATAGCGTTAATTTTTTTTTTCGTCACCGATAAAGGCCTATCTCAACATAGATTTCCGTCCTTGGATAAAGTGCAAGTTTGACATAGAGATATATATATATATATATATACTATTCAAATGTATATATGTATACAAAAAAGAGGAAACTATTGTATTTTTATTATTATCTATTTAAATATTCTCATCTTATATACGCAGAAGACACAAATTTTATAAGATATATTTTTTTTGATATAATATAATATAATAATAATAATATAATTAAAAAAAAAATATATAATATAATATTATTTCAAATTACCTATAAAAATAAGTTACTTTAATTAATATTTTTTATAATTTACAAAATTTTAAAATTTTTTAAATTTTTTAATTAAACAAATAAAATAATAAAGAAAACTAATACTGCTAACAATAATAATAGTAATAATAATAATAATAATAATAATAATAATAATAATAATAATAATAATAATAATAATAATAATAATAAAAATATTGTGTTGGTGATTTTCATGGGCTTTAGGATCCAAATAATGAAATCAAATAATTATTGTTCAAACGTTTCAATCCATGTGTGGATCTTCATAAGTGAAATTTTTATTATCTAAACAGAATAATAAACAAGAAAAAATTTTTTAATCTAAATAGAGTAATATGCAAAAAAAAAAAAAAAAATATATATATATATATATATATATATAAATATTATTAACAATATTTTAAATTTAATATAATAAAACAATTCTTTGTTATAGACTATAAATTATAAAATGAACGAAATTCATATTAACATTGAGATATTTATTTAATTTTACTAATATTTGATTCGGTTTTCTGATATTTTTCATAGTAATAAAAATAGTGATTCATAGTTAATAAAAAAATTAAAATAATGCAAATATTAATAATAACAATATTAACAATATTAACAAAAATAACAATCATATTAATGATAACAATAACAACAACAATAATAATAATAATTTTCATTTTTTGTATTTAAAGACTTTTTTGCCTGTTTACTTAACAAAAATAAAAAAAAAAATAAAATAATAATAATTAGATAAAAAAAAATAAAATAAAATAAATAAATATTTAAAAATTATTGTCTGAAATAGAATGTAAATAAGGAAATAAAAAAAAAATTAAAATTAATGAATATTAACTGAACTTCTCCATAATTTTCGTGAGAAAAAAAGATTTTTGTTATCTCATAATAATGAAGTGATTTAAATGAGTTTCGC